TGTTTTCAAGGAAATCTATAAGAAAAAAAGGAAAATCATGAAACTGAGAAATAATAGTTTAATTTTTTATACTCTTTAGCTAATAGCCCCAGGGTAGGCCAATCTAAGAAAAAAACGAAAATTATGAAACTCAGAAGTAATAGTTTAATTCGTTGATACTCTTTAACTAATAGCCCCAGGGTAGCCCGTGGGTAAAATTCACGATCACAAAAGCAAAATAATCCCCCACCCCCTTGGGCAAAAAACGCCTTACAATCAGTGAAAATACCCATTACTTCTCCTGGGGTCACAGGCCACCGAGGGTCACCCCCAGGGGAAGCCCATGATAAGCAATAATCAAGCTTTATACAACCTGGTTTTTTGAATACAAACAACAAACATACAAACCTCCAGTCATTTTCCCACTGATGTACTCGGGGTCTTTTTTCATGTCAGCAATTGCTGCTAGCGGCAACCCCCAGTTTGCAACTGCAATCAAAACAATATTTGATGTCACAAAGTTCAGGCCACAAAAGTGTGAAACAATTCTTAACTATTTAGCGCTAATAGTAAGCGTTATGGTCTAGTCAGTCATCAACTAGCTAAAACCTATGATGACCGATGACACAAGAAATTACAAAGAAATGTATGGAGAACTAAAAATGAGATTTACTCGCTCTCTGGATCAAGTAAGTCCTTAAAAATTCGCCAGTTAACTCCTGTTCATACTATTTAATGTTTGAAATTAATGATTCTTTCAGAATAGGAATTCAACTCGAATTTTTTGACATGGTGTCAATAGAGYACAAACATTAAATGTGTGCAACACTTTCMACTATTTACTACAAAATAGTGTTAATTAAACAATAGAAAACAATAGAATTAGCAGTATTTAGCAGTGTTTAGTGGTATTTATGTTGCACAGTTTTAGTGTTTGTACTCTACCGTCACCTCAACTAATCAAGGAGTGAGAATATGCTCAATATGTTCCATGCTCATGCTAATATTGATATGCTTGTACTCAAGGTTTAATTTGTCTCGTGAAAACCAGCCTTAAGAAAGACAATAAGTGCCTTTTCCACTGAAATGGAGTTATAAATATTTGATAATCTTGCTTAATGTTTAATATTGCACAACAGACATAGCTTACTCAGTCTGGACTCGGATGTATAGTTTAGTAAAGTTAATATACATTAAACAGCTTACCTGGACCCCAGAAATGCTAAAAAAAAGAAAAAAGAAAGACTAAATTAGTAATTACAATGAATAGACCTCAAGAATTCAAATCAAAATTTCAAAAATTCGTTAAACATTGGATATCAAACTTAAAATTCAACAGCATTTTCTTTATCTTACCGTGCTGAAAATCAACGCAAACGACACACAATTAGACTTACAAATAGCACAAAAGATGGTTTATAAAATGTAATGCCTAAATGGTCTTTTACCTGCATAAGTACTCCCTAAATTCTTTRCTTTTCAAATGGTCTAGTCCTCTCCTAACTGCTCTTGCCGCCATTTTGAAATTTATGAAGCAATCGGATGACGTGACATGTCTGCAGCATCACGCGAACAAGCATGCATAGCGCGCTCTCAAGACCACACGATGTCTTTGGCTAGCATTATTTTCGAATTTATTTTGAATTTATGTTCACATATTCGTGAAAAAGTACTCTTTTTGCTTTGATYTGACATAGTYAGCTATGGTTCTGCTTTGAATTTTTGAGAATTGAAGATTTTYAAAAATAATTGGGCCGCCTGTGTTACAYTGTGTACCAGTCTCCTCTACACCTCGTAAAGCAACGCCTGGTAAGAAATGGTGTTGACATCACAAGAATCTCACATGATATGCCATTATACAAGGTGTGGTTGACAAAGTTTAGTCTACGCTTTAGCCGTCAGTTTTGTTTTATATTCTATTGATATTCAAAATGTCTTGTGGGGRTTTATCAGGGTCAAAACCAGCTGATAGTGCGGTTCACGATATCTGCAAAAAGGTAGGGTTTTGTAGAGAGTACGTGCATATAGCTGAGACTTGGCTATCTAGAAATACAGTACATAACGAAACCATTACCCCRTATACCTTTTAAACGATTAGCAAGTTATTTTAACAGTTCTAAAGAATCCAGTGAAGACTCWTATCGATTAAAAATACAAAAAGTTACAAGAACTTTTAGAGTGCACGCTACATAAGTGTGAAACAATTCTTAACAAATTAGCCCCTAATAAGATTTAGTTATCAACTAACTAAGACTTCAATGAGGCGTAAAAAAAGACAATTTTCCTTTTTGGCAATGTGTTCATGCCCCAGTGAATTCTTAGTTACAGTAGCTGATAACTAAAAGCTTATTAGTTGTTGATTGTTACATGTAAGAATTGTTTCATGCTTTTTTTTGGCATGCACTCTAAACAGCCCTAATCTTTGATAAATGGTAATCAAAAAATCCCAAGGTATTAGGACTATCTCTTTTGTTTTAAACAAAAGAGTTAGCCCTTAGCACCTAGGTACGTACACCCCTAATCCTCACGTAAACAGGGTCTGGAATCTGAAGGATCAGCACTTTTACCCTAATTGAGATCAGGATAACAGCCACTGGGAGTTATGGATCAATTAATTGCTGAATTGGGGATCAGATATAYACTATACTATCTAAATTCTTGCACAGGTTAAGAGTGATGTGGAATCCAAAACCGGAAAGTCATATTCAACATTTGAAGCAAAACATTATTGCTCTCAAGTAGTTGCAGGAACAAACTACTTCATYAAGGTAATGCTAACTATATTTAACTGTGCCAAGATAAACTTTGGAGGTGTGTAGGCACACCTTATCATGCAATGATTGATGGGAAGGATGTAGGCAGCTCCAATTGCATCATGTTCGTTTTATCATGCATAGCGGTGGAAATAAGTTCAATCTGGATGTTGTTGTTTATTTTAGATTTTATGAAGTGATGTGGATATTTTGTAATGTTATTGTTTCAAATTATAATACCCCCTGCTAGCAATGAGATCTCTGACAAGATTTAAGCCCCAAAGTGCTGCAATCCAAGCGGTGAAATCAAATTTAGTCAAGCAGGATTTCCTTGAACAAATTTATGGTGTTTTCAAGGACTATCCAAGGAGMATTGAATATTGAGGAATCCTAGCTTCAGTTTATAATGTTTCAGTTTTTATTATTTGTATTGAATGTTTTATTCTACTTCCTTTTTCCTGGAGAGTTCTTCAAGTTTATAAAGGAATTTCTCCAGTTTTCAAGAAGTTTGAAGTGCCTTTGAATGCATTTTTAAAAATCCAAAATCCAGCACATTTCAAGGAGATTAAGGGCCTGCATGAATCCTTAATCAATCATTTAAATAATATGTAAAAATATCCSTAAGTACATTAATTAACATTATATTGACTTTAGGTTGATGTTGGTGGCTCATTTGTCCATATCAGGGTTTAYGAGACTCTTCCTCATGCTGGGAGCACACTTGAAGTCAGTGCTGTTCAAGTTGACATGAAAGAAGATGACCCAATYGCCTACTTTTAATAACAAAGAACCAAAATTATGGTGCATTGTGGTCTAGCTTCAGTACAAACAAYGCCATAWTTGGCAGCRTGAACAAAAGATGTTTGTACTAAATCTAGACCACAATGTAATGCAAACTGCGATCTCAAAAAAGGCTTATGGAATATTTTCATCCTACAAACTGTATTGTGACTTTATAACTTTGTATGCCATTATAATGCCCTCGTGTTACTCTGATGCTGTCAGACAACCTCATGTATAATTAAAACAATAATTAATCACAAGATTGATGTATTTTGTAAGAAAGTACATCACTTTTCATGAATACATACATGTATACAATAAATGTTTTTATTTAATAAAAACTGCACTTTTTGAACAAAGTAAAAGATGAAGTGAAGTGAGATTGGATAGGATTTGCTCTAATTCAATGTCATTTGGGTGGCTTGAAGGATTTCCAACACTTCTCATTAAATATCTGAAAGAAGGAAGACATTTGGTTAAGTACATCTGAACATGTTGCATGACAGTGCAACAGTTGAACAAGGAAAGTTGATACAATACTAGCGCAAATTTTCAACTCCTTTTTCCCCTTCAAAGCAAGCGACCACTATTTTGGTTGACAACAGTCTCTCACAAAAGAAAGCAAAGAAAAAATGCTGTCATTAAAATAGCTTACAAATTTGCATCTCCAATAAACTGCATAAACTCGAGGTCATGTGGGAATGGAGGTGGGAATCGAGTCTTAGCCTCAACTCTGAAACGATTCAATTTTTTGGAGCTACGTATTGTAATGTCAACATTATTTTCATCCTTTCTCTTGCTTTTGGTAAGGTCTTAGCACAAGTGAGTCTGTTGTCTACTAAAACTTACAGCAGTTGCTCACATTGAAGAAGAAAAAGGCTTATTGTTGTTCGTCAGTTTGAGTATCTGGGTGAGGTCTATGGCAAAATGTACCACTTTTATCATAAAAATACATAAGATAGCAAATTTTTTTTCACTACTGCAGTATATACCTTTAAGGTACGTGGTTTAAGGATTTCTTCTACACTAAGTTCAGAATGCATTAGCCTCAACTGCAATGATAATAATAGATTATTAGCTTCAATTTTAATATAAAATTAAAAAGAAAGGATTTAAAAAGAAAGTAAAATGATCTTTATTCAAAGAACTATTATTGYCCCCAATTGAATAGCTAACTATAATCATTTATAGAAAAAATATTTGATATTTCTGCATCAGCAAGAGACCAGTACATTACATATATTACATTGTTATCTAAATTCCCTAATGTTTATTCGATTTTTTCTAAATTTTAAACATGTTTCATTAATGTGTTTTCTGTATCGCTGAATTCAGGTATCATTCTACTTATACACCTAATTGCAAAAGTTACTTAGTCTGGTTCTAATACTTTAACATACAATCATGAAAACCAAAATTGAAAGATTGGMTGCACTGAACAAAAATACCTATGAGAAATATCATTGACTATTACTAGGCTCTCTGGGAGAAAAAAAACAGAGGGCCTATTCAAAGGCCTGGTCTGGTACTAGGGTTTAGTAATCCTATGATGTGACATGTACCTCAATGTAAATTTTAATTGCATTTCTGTCTTAGGCGTCTTACATCCGAAATTTCTGTCTAATTTCCGGGACAAAAGTTAGACAGTAATTCTGGATGTAAGACAGGCTATTCTCTCTGAGCATTTTCTAAACCCTCTTCAGGCATGTCGGAATTATGTGCAGATGCGGATGTGCATAATTGCCTCTTTTCTGCATAATTCACCAAATCGCTCATAATTCCGCATAATTCAGGATTTTTTCCCATGTTATACCATTTTTTAAGATGACTTGCCATCAACTGATGTTTTTTTGTGGTCCCTAGACTGTTTTTTGATCAAAACTYGCTTCCAAACGTGCTTACAATTTTCCAAATATACATTGTTTCATGCGCTTCACAAATGTACCAGGCGTTCAAAATCTCATCAGAAATGAGTCTGGGCACTAGCATTACAAAATGTCAATCATGCTTTGTTGTGATTTTCTGTACATGATGTATTACCTTTGTCTGTTCACCATTAAGTTTCTTCATCAACTCATAGTTGTCAGGATCAACTTCTCGTTGATCTTTCATTTGTCTGATGTTATTAGAAACTTCATGAATACATCTTTTGATTGCATTCTCTCTAGATTTATTTGCCTGTAATAACTGAAAAACAAAATGGAGACATGTTATCTAGATAAATTTTCATGGACAATATGCATTTAAAAAACAAAAACATTAAATAGACCTAGGACTTCTCACTAATGCGAACAGTATACCGACTATGAAGTTTGGAAGAATGTCCAGTTGCCAAGGGCAACTATTCCATCAAAATACCCAAGATTTCAACTGCTCTATTTGTTGTTGTTGTTGTTGTTTTAGTTAAGCAAAAAAATTTCTGAAGTCACAGCAGGCACTATGCAATGATAATATACACTTCCGTGACAGGCCATATTGCATCATGTGGTTGGCTTTCGACCAATAWGAGCAGAGGACTTAAGCTTATTTATTGCTGATCGAGGGAAAAATCCAAAGTTAGTGATGCATGACGATGCATGACTATGAATTGACTTTGCATTCAGAATAGGTCGCAAATAGAAAAAGACTGAAAAACTATTTTTTTTCTACTATATTGCTTGAAATATTAATACAAAAGTTATCGGATTTTAATATATTATGATATGAAGTATGTAAACCTCGGGTTTGTATCTATCTAAAGTAAGCTAAATGACTTCGTTCGATGACAGCCTGATTCTTGGTTCTTCGATTCATTTAATACATGTATTTAATTCTTTTATAACATTTACTTACCTCTGCATACAATTCTCTACATTTCTTTTCAGCGTCCACTTCTTGAGAGAAGCTAACAGTAGGTACACTAGTATTAAGTTTGTAAATAATCTTATCGTCAASWAGGCGTAATACTTTYAGRGCCTCCTAGAAACGAAAAAAATTAATAATTCGCGATCAAAACAGAAAACACACTTAATTTTACTGCAACACAAAGTTGACAGCTAGAGCAATTTATTTATGCTAAAAATGCTTAGATTTTTACCTTAAATTCACTAAAATCTCCRCAAGACATTTGACTCAACTCSGGCCTCGCACTGTCCGCCATCTTTAAACACGTGCTAATGAGAACTCCGCTGGCTGAAGTGAGCGTCAGGCGACTCTAACAAAGGGAACCCAATTTATACAAAGAAATGAAAAATACCAAATACATGAATCCATACGACATATATAAGGTGTTAAAGTTTAAGGTGTTAAGATTTTAAATCTCATTGATATTTCAAGGATGGAAATAGTTTTTTGAGGGCACTGCTCGCATGATAACATGAATATTCAAAAGTGACGTCACAAAGAGTAATTAGCATTTCAACGTTAATTTACAATTACAATTATAGTGAAAAAAAAATTAACAAAAAAGAAACAAACAAAAACTTATCAAGAAATCTGTTTTCTAATCCATGGGTAAGTTTATTTAAATAAATTTATTAAAATTGGTCAGGAATCTGTTTCTGTTCAACAAACTTGACCGTGTTCTTTTTTAGATACCGCGTTAGCTCGCGCCAGATAACTGATTACAAAAATAATACTTCAAATAACGGCCCCGAGTAAAGGGATGCTTACTCCTTTCCCTAAACCTAAAATATCTTTAATCAACCATTCCTGTCTTATTTTGTTTATAGATTATGCGTCAATACTCGATGAATCTAAAGAACGCATCTTCAGAAAGCGGCAGCAATTTTCTACTGAACATTTAGTCAGGAATTGTTTTCTGATCACATGTGTGGTTGTCCTGTTCCATTTTCTACTTTTCTTTGTGTTTTGTTCGCCTTTTATCATTGTTCTTTCTGGGATAACTTGTGTTTGTGTCCTGTTTGGTACTTTTGGATTTATCATTGTGTTGGAATTGCGTCGGCATTTAAAAAAGACTACTGAATGCTATATAAAGTTGCGTACAATTTTGTCAAATCTTATACCAACAGTTAGGGTCATCAAAGATTAGGAATCTGCATTTGAGCTTCATCAATCCTGTTCATCCCCTGTGGGACATAAGGCCGCAGTATTTGAGCTTACTGGCTGGCATAATGTACAGATCATTGCTCTTTTATCAAGCAATCAGGTACTTGAAGGAGTCATTAATTAGAATTATTTAGTGTGAGAGCATAGTAATTGTTTGATAGCAAAATTGGTCATGTGACTACAATTGTGACGTCATTAATTACGTTATAATTGTTTGCTGCATTACCAATTGTAAAACAAGGCAAAAGAAAATACACTAATATCAAGTCGCTTATTTTACATATTTTTATGAAAACCCCATATAAATCGGTTAAATTGTCGTGGAGTTAAAAAAGTAATCAAAAATAATAGATTTTATTCAAATTTCCCGCCAAATGACAATATATGATCAAAAAAGAAGCGATTTACACGCCCATAGGATAAAGTGTATCACAAATATTTTGAGGGACTATAAATGCGTCCCGTAACACGCGTCATTTTTTATGTCTCTTTAAATTTATAATTTTGTTCTTACATCTCAAATCCTCAGGGGTCAAGTCAACAATTTCATAACTCTTCACAAAAAACTACAGGAAATAATTCCAAACATCACTATAGGAGCTATCCTTGGCTTTCCGTTTTGGGCGTTTACGTGGACTTTGTCAGCGGTTTTTACGTCGGTACAGAACAACGCTAACGTACGCAAGCGTCGCAACTCTAAGAGATNATACATGAATCCATACGACATATATAAGGTGTTAAAGTTTAAGGTGTTAAGATTTTAAATCTCATTGATATTTCAAGGATGGAAGTAGTTTTTTGAGGGCACTGATCGCAGGATAATTTGAATATTCAAAAGTGACGTCACAATGAGTAATTAGCATTTCAACGATAATTTACAATTACAATAATAGTGAAAAAAAATCCCCAAAAAATCTTGACAAACAAACAAAAACTTATCAAGAAATCTGTTTTCTAAGCCATGGGTAAGTTGATAAAATTATTAACAAAATTGGTCAGTTATCCAGAAGGTACTGATGACTTCTCGTGAGTCGCACTGTATGTTCTAAACCAAAAACCGGAATCCAAATTACAATCAATTCTAAAACTAGACCTTTCAATCAAGTGTTTTAGTTCTAGCATCAAAGAAGCACAAAGACATTTTTTAGCGACACGTGCGGCACAAAATATAAAAGAATTTTGAAACAACACTATCATGAAGAGAAATCCAGTTCAATTTGCCAGAAGCCAGCATGTGAATCTGTTCACAGATTATACGCTTTCAATTATTCCACGCTCAATTTCTGCCTCACTGTATACCACATTGAGACAATATTTGTAATTTGGGGACACCTAGCCTTGGTGTTAGGCCAATACCTTCTAATTAACAAACTGGACTGTTTTTAAATCCCGCGTCTCGCGCCAAAAATGATCAAAAAATCAATTATTTAAAGAACGGCCCCAAGTAAAGGGATGCTTATTCCTTTCCCTCAATCTAAAATTTCTTCAATCAAACATTCCTGTCTTATTTTGTTTACAGATTATGTCTCAATACCCGATGAAGCTAAAGATCGCATCTTCAGAAAGCGGCAGCAATATTCTACTGAACATTTAGTCAGGAATTGTTTTCTGATCACATGTGTGGTTGTCCTGTTCCCTTTGCTACTTTTCTTTGTGTTTTGTTCGTCTGTTTTCATTGTTCTTTCTGGGATAATTTGTGTTTTTGTCCTGTTTGGTGCTTTTGGATTTATCATCGTGTTGGAACTGCGTCGGCATTTCGAAAAGACCACTGAATGCTATATAAACTTGCGTACAATTTTGTCAAATCTTATACCAACAGTTACTAGTAGGGTCATCAAAGATCTCCAAGAGATGATATCGATTAGGAATCTGTATTTGAGCTTCATCAATCCTGTTCATCCCCTGTGGGACATAAGGCCGCAGTATTTGAGCTTACTGGCTGGCATAATGTACAGACCATTGCTCTTTTATCAAGCAATCAGGTACTTGAAGGAGTCATTAATTAGAATTATTTAGTGTGGAAGCGAGCATAGTAATTGTTTGATAGCAAAATTGGTCATGTGACTCTACAATTGTGACGTCATTAATTACGTTATAATTTTTTGCTGCATTACCAATTGTAAAACAAGGCAAAAGAAAATACACTAATATCAAGTCGCTTATTTTACATATTTTTGTGAAAACCCCATATAAATCGGTTAAATTGTCGTGGAGTTAAAAAAATAATCAAAAATAATAGATTTTATTCAAATTTCCCGCCAAATGACAATATATGATCAAAAAAGAAGCGATTTACACGCCCATAGGATAAAGTGTATCACAAATATTTTGAGGGACTATAAATGCGTCCCGTAACACGCGTCATTTTTTATGTCTCTATAAAATTANTGTTTGTACTATAACCATCAGTTAATCATATACTTTTAATAGGTGCGATAATCGTTTCAGCCTGGTCAGCAAGTGGCTCAAGGAAGGCAATGAGGTCCCTGTTACCATATTTGACAACAGACGAAAAGCAATGATCAGCTTCATACTGGCGGCATTTGACGATGATGTATCGATTAGGCGATCATGCTACGAACCGCAACCGATTCGATACGGAGTACCATGCGTACGTCGACGCTACCGCTGATCGAGGAACCAGCCATCGAGACGGATGAGAGGCACCGCTTTGCGGTGTATCAGTGAATTCAGACCCTGTTCCCACAACACAGGATGATATTCAGGGTGATATAAGGGCCATTCTCAATCTGTTGACCTTTTTCAATCCACTTTTTAATCCACCGGTTTTTACCAGATTTTAATTAAGTCAAAAAATCTCTATAAATTACTCGGCAATCGAAACGTTTCTTATCTATATTCCTTTCACAAAAAAAAACCGATATCAAAAATATTTTACATGTAATTATATATTGTCTAACTAGATCTTTTTWAAAAAGTCTGTACGGCGTTGCAGTTTCTATTTCCATGAGTTTTTYCTTGCTTTTTCGCACGCTTCCATCACATCATTAGTCCAGTCTCGCATGACTTCTAAGACCATGAACAGCTTGGTGATGTGTCTCTCATTRCGTGTATTTAAAGCACTGATTTCTTCCTAAAAAATAAAGAAAAAATAATGAATAGTAAAGTAAGGTAATATTACAATTTATTGCTAAGAGCTTTGCGTTGGATTCGCATTCCATAATCAACAACAACAACAACAATTGAGTGATGCATTAAACCCGTGAAACAATATTTGAATGACTATTAAAGTGTGATAGTCGTGATAGAGTTATTTTCATCCGTCTGTGAAATAGGAACTGTACTATTAAATACTATTATCCCCTGTTAGGTCCCAATAATTTAACTTATGACATGTGACAAACAAATTAGGCAAAAACGGTTTTGATTTTGCCTTTTAGAGTCGTTCTCATTAACCCGTGGAACAAAGTATAATAGTAAAGGAGAGACAAAGTGTATGAGGGTGTAATAGTGCTATTGGACCACCAAACAAAATTTCAAATTCATATTTATTAAGGACTACAATTTCTGCAATTTATTAGTTTCTAAGCTACTTCACTGCGATTTTCCACGAACGTTTAAAGAATTTCTTGAAATTTAGGGAGCTTATCTCTGTTTAAAAGCATTTTTACAATAGCAAGCATGAGAATTGGAGCAATAAATCCAGGAGTAGAACGTGCGATAGACTTAGCTTGACGAAATACCCATCATTTCAATGAGATTCAGGTCATACGCATACGCCGGTAATTAAACAAATGCTGTGTTTCTTTGACGTAGAATTGCACTGAGTCTTTGCTCATTGTGCACGCTAGCGTTGTCGGCAACTAGAAATACAGTTCTTGGTAGCAATGGCAATATTTGGTGTTCAATAGATGCAATTATGTTATCTGCTGTGCAATTCCCAGCAATAGGAATCACTTGTACAACTCCTTCAATAAAAAACACCGAGCACGGAAAATTTCCTAGCCCACGCGCTCGAGTCGTCAGGAGCTTTCATGAAAACGAATGATCTAGTAGATTAGTATTTTCCTGGTAGCAATTCTATATTTAAATGGGTATTGCCGTGTTCCGTCTTTCTCTCCGAGTTGAAGTCTCGTGGATAAAATAACAATAGGAAGAAATTCATATGCAAATATTTGTGTTACTCGTGAATAAAAGAACAGAGAAAGTGTAATAAAGCGTAGTAAAGAATAAAACGCTAAGATGTGTTCCACGGGTTAATGAGAACGACTCTAGTAGCCTACTACACCCTAATAGTTACTATTAAACAGTGACTAGTAGTAATTGTTGTATTTCCATTATGTCACTTAAAGCAATTAAGGGTCCCGTAAATTAGCTTACTATAAACCGCAGAGCACAAATATCGCAGACGCACCGCAAAACACCGAATTGCAGAGGTAGGGAGATCTATAATCGAGCGGGATCTTTCAAGGAGCCGACCGACTTCTTATGAGGGCCAAWGGGACCTCATATACCGAGAACGTCGGTCCTTCCCGTTACATAGCATCCAATCACCATTCGACACCTTTCAACATCATTCGACGCCATTCGACATGCCATTTGTTTTCACACGTTTGTCCAACAATGAGTCCAACAATGTGGACGTGTCCAAAATTATTGAATATTGTGTTGTGCGATCAAATATTTCTTGTTTGGCTGTGGCTTGGAATTAAAATTTTTACTTGTTAAGCGCTCGACAATGAAACATGAAAATATATTTACTATTTCCAATAAATAAATCATATTTAAAGGGCAATGATCATCCATGTTTTGRCTACAATCACCTCAGCAAAAATATACCACTGATTCAACGTCATTGAACCGATAAGGCAACTGCTTTTAACATGCATTTTGGAGTGAACATCGCTATGAAACATTAACAGGCTTGTTCACACAAACGCATATTTTTATGTTAAAAATGAAAAAAATATATCTGAAAACACCTTGACTTTTAAATATTCTTACCATTTCTCTTTTGAATTTTGAAATTTCRGTTTTTGTGTTTAAAATTTTGTTGTCCAGTTCTTCCCGTATMGCAATATCAGCCATACTTTAACGTATTTTATAAAAGTCTTTCGCTCGATATTTTCCAAACGCGAAAAATTGTTATATGAAGGAATTGGTCGAATGCATTATGACGTCACGACATGGAATGCTTGCGTCATGGAAGAATTGCGCACGCTCCCATAAACAAAACGCTGGTCCTTTCCGCGAAAGGAGTCGTCATTTTGAAAGTTAGAAGTTCGAAAAGACCAGTTCAGCTTGCAATATAAGTCCTGAGGTATTTAGTTCTCCGCACTTGACGTCAAATTTATTCTTTTGAAATTTCTACGATATAAAAGGAATTAAAAATGATAAATTTAACGTCAAACGGAGAACACAATACCTCTCGGGACTTATTAAACAGGTGTATAGATGTGCTTCGTTGTTTATGCATAGACTATAGGTGTGAAAGAAAGAATCGATCATTGCTTAGAAGCTTACCAGCCTGTTGTCTCACTCTATAAAGCAATTKTTTGGACGGCTATCTTTCTAATGACTTTGGGCTATATAAGCCTAACTGACTGAGCATCACTGTATTGAACGGCGTAGGAAGCCTCTCTTGTTTTTCAAGGATAGCCTGGAATATTGTAAGATATCTTAACGCCGGTGCATTTTTTTGCGATTTTTGTCGTCATTTTAGTCCTAGTGAAACTTTTATTCAGGAAAAAAAAATCGTGATTCGTGTACATTTTGACTAAGTTATATTCGCGAATACTCAGATATTTTGTTTTATTTTCCTTTCTTAATTACGTTACACTGCATAACATGTTTTCAACAACTCAAAAACTTTTGTTTACAAGAAAATTTTCCTTATAAGTCTGACAAGAATTGGAGCGTATATCAGTGCTGTTTTTCTAAAAAAAAAGAAAAAGAAAAGAAAAACGCGGATGGTTTTAAGGATTAATCAGTCGGCGAGCATAAAAAAGTGCGAAAATTACACTCCCCGCACTAAGTTATTTGTTATAAGAAAATGGCGTTAAAAACAGTAGCGAGAGCGCATGCTCAGTTTGAGTGCCAAGTGCTGCATGGCGCGAGCGTGTCAACTTTTCCCGCTATTTTACGCTTGGCGGTATAATTACTCAAAAAAGTTCAAATCAAATTTGTTTCTTTTTCTATAAGTTTTACATGTAATATTGGAAAGCTCTCGATTTAAATTAAAAATTTAAATAAAGTGAAATTTGAATCAATTTTATGTCAGAGAAAGACGACATAAACTGCTTTATTTTTGACTATAGCTTAGTTACGTCTAGACAAGAGAAGAGGGCCCTTTGGACCCTTTTATATACACCTATTTCAAAAAACGTTGTCGTCACCACGACACAGTCCACAGGCTTGAGCCTGCAAAGAATCTCGGGGTTTCCATGCGTAATTAATATATATTGTGTTTTGAAGCAATGCCGGCAAACACTACTAATTTACTATTGCGTGTGTTAAACACATCGAACAAGTCC